TGTTCATAAGAAGATTACTTGTTTTCAAGTCACGATGTAGGATCCAATGCGTATGACAGTGTGCAACTGCACTTAGAAGCTGCAACATTAGTGTTTTGATTTCTGACTGAAGAAAAGGAGCAGGCATCAACGTGAGGAGGGATTTGAGATCATGTTCAATGAAGTCCATAACTATGAATACTCTGCAACGACCGCATTGAATATGTTCTCAGTCAAATCAATATTGCACTCACTGTGTGAGCGTGTCACCTACTACGACCTCTCGAATTCCGACCACATTTTCATGCCGACATGATATCAATGCATTAATTTCTCTAAGTGCCGTGATGGGAAACCCATGTTTCTCCTCATCCAGCTTCAACTTTTTTAGTGCGACAATATCCCCAGTTTGCTTATCGCGTGCTCGGAACACCACACCATATGAGCCCTCTTCTATCTGATTCAACCGTTCGTAAGAGTATACGGATCGTGAAGGTATTATGGGTGGATGGCTAGTCCGAGGGGGCACGAATTTACTGTGCAAGTGGACCATAGAGCTGGTTTTCAAGGACACAGGACAACCAGAGTCAGTGTGAGGCTCGGGCTGAGTCGCGTCAGTCGTGGTGTGGGATCGCGTTGTCTTGGGCTTTGAACGTCTTTTCACAGGTAAACTCCCAGAATTCCTGTCAGTCTCTTCTCCATCGTTATCCCATTTTGACCTTTTTCGCGACGGTGTGGATGGGCCAGCTATCGCGGACATGTAGCACCGTGGCTTGAGAGCACTGGCACTGGTACGAATGGCACGATGCGGTAGAGTTCAACGTAAACAACTTGAAGTGGTAATGTTTATGGTAATACGAGTCCATCAATTCAGCAGCAGTTCAATGGATCCCTGTGCGTATATTCATCGAACGGGGCATCACGGAACTTTAGGCGTATGCACCATGCCAGAATTTTCACTCGAGTTTAAACTGTAACGGATTTTTAATGTACAAAAGGAGCTTAACACGACGCATCCCTTGAAAAAATGTATTGATTCTAATACAGACGTGTACCTCGAGGGAAAAGGAACACAGCATGTACGCATGTCCGGTGAATTCTAAGGGGGAAGGCCGATCATCGTCGCATAAGGAGGTACACAGGATCACCCAACACAATTCCAGTGACATGCCGATGCGATCCAGTTAGGGACATGAGCAAGCCACCAAACGACGCGTATACCGTGCTGCGAGCCAGTCAAGCATAAGGCAACATTGAAAAGCGGCGACCTACACAATTTCTGCCGTTCCCGTGTCAAATTTGTACACCTTCACAAGGTGTAAGTCCACGCTTTGGCTAACAGCATGACACTGACCTTCCCGTACATAACGTATTCGTAATCCTCTTCAAGTCCCTTGCGACCTTTGCCATCTGGTCTCCAAACATCTCGGTCCTTCTCCTCAGAATCATCAGCACCTGCATCCGCGTTGCCAGTCCCACCCCCACGAATGAGAGAAGTGGCTAATACAAGGGAAAATGTTTCGCCGGTCTTCAAGGGGTACAACTCAACATTGTAATCGAGCGTCATAGTCATGTCGTAGTTGGTTGAGTGCGCAACAAGGCGGCTTACTGGGTGAATTCATTTCAAATGTAGAAGACTCGAAACGTAAAGTACAGCTCGTACGGCGAACCTCGGTCGAATTTTTTGCCTTCTGGATCCATCGCAGTTATGGTGAACAGGTCGTCGAAGACCACATTCGAAGTGGTGGATGTCATTGGTGAAATGTAGAGTCGGCTGTCACATACGTGTGACGGACGCGTACCACTGAAATAAAATTACTGGGTGGGTCAAATATTCGTACGGCGAAAGTGTTCTTCAACGAACGCAATTAGGGAATGCCAAGTACAAAATTAGTAGATACAGACAGCCAGTCGAGCCATACCAGTACTCCCTATTTACCCCCAACACCTTCGCGGACTTGATCAACGTTCGCGACCCACGGCATGACTACTTTCCACGTCCCCCGATCGGCAAGGAGTCTGCGCACCTGATCCTGAATCATTTCGTGTAGCTTGGGCACATCGGCGAGCTTGGCACGGCTGCCCATGAGCGATGACGTTTTTAGTTGGAGATTGAAATTAGGTGAAAGGCACAAGGACAGAGTGGGATTTGGTGAGCTTGGGTCTGGTGGAGTGAGGAAGACCTGGGAGGGCGGGTTAGCGATGCCAATCACGCGCGGCCATAATGCCTACCGTTGAGGAGAAATAAGCAAGTGACACAGTGAGGGAAACGGGTAGACGCGCAAAGTATGGCACAGGATAATTGAACAGTACACTTGTTGACAAGGAGACGGAAATGCTATCCATGTATTCCATGTCAAATTCTATCTGCTGATGCACATGCAAGTAAGTGGGTGCAATGTTGCTGTGAATTTTCAAAATTAACCTGTACGGCGTCGAGGCTATTGTCTCTAGGGCGTAAGCGGGTATTAGATATTCGAGGCGCGCATGACCCTAAATCCACAGATAAGATTTTGATAGGGTCCTGGAAAGTTGTAGGGAACCTATGAGACTTGATCGAAGTCATGTATAAACTGACTTACTACAAGAAACTGTGGCCGTACGCCGTTTGCAAATCGCTCTATTCGGTCACGAGCCACCTCGTCGCCAATAGCTCCTGCTAAATCGTCACGGAGTTTCGAGCGATAGGTCTCGACAATCTGGAGGTTAAGTTTCGGTATGCCGATGAGCCATCATGTCGCGAAAGGCGGCTGCGTACCTGTTGTAACAAAACGTTAAACCATTCAGCAGACTCTTGGTGGTTGAAAGCATTGTATGTTCCCCAGTCATTTGAGCGGGGAATGTGTTCTGTGTCGTCGATAATCGTTGGTGAATATGCTGTCGGTGCATATGGAAATTCAGGATGAGAGTCGAGGAAGAGGTACTTCAAGATCAATCCGAGGAGGACGATGATAGATAATTGGCCAAGGATGAGGCCTTGCGTGAAAGTCGGGGTCAACGAGAAAATTGAATTGACCATTATATTCAAAGACGTTTCGAGGGCCGGGGCGGACAGGACATGGGTGTGGTCAAAACGAAGACCCAAAATTCTGTTCAAGCGCACGTGATATTGATCACCCCGCCACTCACCACATCGCAACACCCGTACAGAACATGTTCGAAGCGTTCGTCTCATGGCCGTCAGCGCCCCTGACAGATGCTTTGGTCCGTGGGGCAATGCAAAAGCTCGAAGGGGATAAGAGTATATTTCTGTCTCGTTTGGAAAGTTGGAAAGGAGGGGATTCGCATCTTCTGCAATGGTGCACATACGACGACATTGACCACAATCTTACTCTGGCTCATCCGAGCACTGTGCTAGCCTCGTCATATACCATCCGCAAAGCATTGATTCGGAAACATTTCATGCACAAGTGTGCAGATCAATATCTTGCCAAAAATAAAGCTTCTCCTCTCAAGCAAGCTTTGCCTATGACTATGCGTTTGGAGATATCCTTTGCTGATGAGCTTGATGAAATGTGGTACGATGAACTTTACGATCTTGGTGAAGAAATTGAAAAAAATCCGGGAAAATGGTGGATCCTCAAACCTGGCATGGCTGATAGAGGAATGGGCATCCGGCTCTTTAATTCTAAAGAGGCACTGCGAGACATATTCGAGGCCTTCGAACAGGATTCTGACGGCAGTGAAGATGAACAACAGTCCGGAACAGCCGTCGTTGCCTCTCAGCTGCGATTCTTTGTGATTCAAGCAAGTGTGCCAACATTCGTATTTATCATTGTTAACGATGGGAATAGGAATACCTCATGCACCCTCTCCTACTTAACCCATCAGAAGGCTCCGGAGTGGTGTCAGGGGAGGTTCGTGGGCACAAGGTCAGTAAAGGAACTGGTGTCGTTTACGTGAGATTTCAGCCACTGCACAGTTTCATCTTCGTGTCTACTGCGTCGCATCTGGCGCATTAGCAGTGTATTTCTCGACTAGGATCTTGGCTCTTTTCTCCTCGGAAATTTACTGCTCTCCCACGGAAGGTTGTGATCTTCGAGCCCACCTTACGAATACGTCTCTGCAGCAGAATCCGGACCCCGACCAAGAGTACATCAGGCTTCTCGATGAACTGGAAGGGCTTCATGTCATATCTGCGGCAGGCGAAAGCGCCGCTGCCGATGTGTTGACGCACGCGGACATAGCTGCTATAATTGAGGACATATCTGATGCCCTCGCCGAAGTATTTCGTGCCGCCGTAGATGCACCAGTACATTTCCAGGTGGGAAACTTGCGTTACCCTCCCGTTTGAACCATTGTCTTATGCACATACAGTTACTTCCAAACGCATTTGAATTATACGGTGTGGATTTTCTGATCACTCATTGTCAGCTGTCTGGGACAGATGTGAACAATGCACGTCGGAGATTTCAGGTTAATCTTCTAGAGGTTAATGCTGAGCCTGCGATTGAACTTACCGGTCCACGTTTGCATTGGATTTTGGAGGAAATATTTGCTGGCATAAGGAAGACTTGTATACAGCCTTTTTTCGATCGTACTGCTGTTCAGGACGAAAAGGGAGATGCCGTCAAGCTGCGGAAATGTCTTGAATTGCAGGTTCGAGGTCCTGCTTAGATACATATATAGTACAGTGTCGGAAGAACTAAGACTGCAACTGGACACAGCCCGAACGGTGCTTTCCAGAACCTTCAATCAAAATTTTAAACAGAAACCTGGGCGAGAAAAGCAAATTTACGCATTTTCGAAAATTTTCGGCGCTTGTTTCAATTTTGGGTGAAAAAAATCGATTTATTATTATTATTTCTCCTGCCAAGTTTCAAAATTTTAGGGCATCTCCGGCCACTTTAATTACGGGGTTTTCACAAATTCTGAGCAGCAAGTCTTTGAACCACTACTATGCAATGCATTTTACAGTTTTCCAGGAGGATTTGACCAATTTTGCTAGCCATGAAAGAAAAGTTTGTCGGGGCTAGCCGAGTGGTCGGTTTTGAGCTTCCGACACTGTAGCAATGTACATGTCGGGTATGGTGTAACGGCTAACATTATCGCCTCTCATGCTGCGTTCCGCGATAGCTCGGGGTTCGACTCCCCGTACCCGAATGTGTTTTTGTAGTTCGATATTTTGTCAGATAAGTGGATGGTTTCCATTCGAAGTGCGGTGTTGGACACATTATATGCGGTGTTGGTCATTACGCCTTAAAATATGTCAATACCTAGCGGTGACTTTAAGTGGTACATATTTTCTTGTAAGACCAGTCCTGTAATTTTCTGACCTCGTTACTGTTGCGCGAGGTAAGGTGACGTGTCCAGCGATTTGGTCTGTGCCCACCCTCCGGTTATGTGCGCGTACGCTATACTCTATACTGATGTCGAGGCAGTCATGATTTGTACGTCTGCCTTGCGCATGCATTCTCATTGTGCAACTTCCGACGCGCGAGAATACATGCGCATTTACTTGTGTACAAAGGTAAAAGCAAACACACTGGCATATTCTCATTCTTTCAGTATCAGACGGATTCAGACCTCCTGAAGGCGGGTTTCCGCACTGTTTCCGATCAATCCAATTTCCTTGGATTGAATCAGCTATGTGGAAATCGAACGTCCTATGTACGGATCTCCGCGCTCAAAACCAGGGGTTCGATTCTCCGTATCCTATTTGTTCCTGTGTTTTGTCACATAATTGGAAGAGCCGAGACGCGTGTCTGCAGGGTTTCCGATTAATTCAAGGAAATGGAAGTTAATCAGCCAGCTTACTCACGTACTGTAATCTAAGTGGCATTACAACGTTGCACTAGAAGGATGGAGCAGGAGGGAACTTCAGGGAAAGCAGGAGGCACGCTGGCCCGAGAGCACGTGGAGAGAAAACGCGATCACGTGACACGCCCAACTTGCGTTCGCGCTGAAACAACCCAGAGGGGTCAAACAACCCATCCAGTGCCTCCACCTGCGCCACCATGGCATCCACAACGCATCGCCCAGGCATCATCTCATGGGCCATGGGGATACGCACGACGATGGTCAATGACCCCGGAAGGCAGACGCTGGAAGATCAAATACAGTGCAATGGGTTCCTCTTTCTCGACGATTATCTCGAAAGTATTCTCGCTGGTCCGCAGCACGAGTAAGAGTCTTTAAATTGTCATTCTACTCATATTGATCGATTCTTCGAGCCCAATCATTGAACTCGTGAAGACGCCTGGTCGAAAGAAGGATGCACCGAAGAGAACGAGAGCTGCCACAGCCGCCGCCGCCAAAGCCAAGCCATTGATCTCTTTTGTACTGAAGGTGCCGCAACAATATCTTAATTACCATGGTTCTAATAATCAATGGGTTTGTTTAGGACGATGGCAAAGAGAATCGATCTCCAAACGCGATCGGTCGAATTAAATTCGCTCCAGTCAGCAAGTCCAACGACTCTTTACAACAATATAAGGATGCACGCCATCGCCTGGACGATGATCTCAAGTTCAAGGAATATGAAACATGTCCTAAACCATTCGATGTCGTATTTGAAAATGCAAAGGAAACAATTCACGGAGACGTAGATGAGCACGGATCCATCGTAATGCCGAATCACTCAACGAAGACTTCCGCCCATTTGGCACCGACGACTGTTACTGAATTCAGGCAAATGGTAGCGTCACAGCATTCACAGTCGGCCAAAGACCTTTCTATTATTGCCGAAGGTGACGAGTCCGCAGAACGACCCTACATGGTGATCGACGAGAGGCGAGCGGAATCGGTGGGGTCTCCCAAAGCTCAAATGCCCTCCAAGGGCCAGATGGCGCCGATAGTGGACGTTGATATGGAAGACATCACAAGGAGTAGCAATTTCACGATGTCGACCTCGACCTCGACACGGACATTCCATTCTATCCCTCTAGAGTCACCACCGACTGCCTCTGCAGCCACCCATCCATTCCCGCATACAACCCTTACGGACACTCCAGATTACGAAGGAGAAGCTCTACCATTGCACGCCGGTACAAGTGGCGGATCAATGGAAAACTCTCCACACAAACTAATGCAAAAAAACAGCTTTTTGCAGTTCCCAACCATCGGTGCACCGTCGCCACTACACAAGTCCGTACGCGCGCCACACGATCCTTCACTGGCTACGGCTCCCACAAGCTTCCCAGCTGTGCCTTCTACAACTAGGTCATCCTGGCTCGTCAAGGCCAAAGAAGCGAAGGCTATAGGGGAAAGCTCCAAGAAAGTCAGTATTATTGGAGGCGGTCTCACCCCTGGCCCGAAAACCGGCACGAAAAGAAAAAGTGCTGAGGTGCTCCCTGATACTGAGAGCGAAAGTGAAGCACCGCAAGAGCGAGTGAAAAAAATCGGGAAGCTCGACGAGGAAACACCGTTCCACACTCCAGACGATCGCAAGGATCCTCAATCACTCTCGTGGCAGACATCTACCGACGACATGCGGTTTACTCAGGCAACGACGCATGAAGAACCCGAGGGCATGATGGATCGTTTGAAGAAGACAGTTCAAGGATACAGTAGTCGTGCAGGCAAAAGCATGGGTAAATCTCTTGGTGGAGCCGCGGTGGCAGCTCTTGCCGAAGCCAAAGCTGCTGCTGAAGCAAAGGTCGCTGAACGGAATGGTGGCCGGCTTCCTTCCGCTGCGCCAACTCCAACGGATACAGCTCCTGTATTCGCACATCCTGGACAAGGGTTGAACCCTTCAGTAGGAGCACTGAAAGAAAGCGAGCGAAGGCTCAGCGTATCTGACCTCGTCACATCCTTCGAAGCAAAACGCAACAGCAAGGAGCCAGAAAGAGTATTTCAACCTCCTCCATTAGTTCGTGCACAAGTTACCCAAGAACATGCTGGTGATAATAGCACAACGACCACCCCTCCGAACTCTCCGCCTCCAGCCCGAACCGCCATTTTTACAGCACCGCCAGGTCCGATCGAGAAGCCTAAATCCACAGTCTCTGTATTTGGAGTGCCAACCCAACCATCCGTAGAATTCCTGTTTCCCGCTTCAACTCTTTCTCGACCATCACTGCTTTCCGCACAGTCCACCCAATCATCTCAATTTTCAGACGCAATATTTGATCATGACGCACCTGCATGGCTTCCTTCCACGCAGGAGACGGATTATGATAATGGCATTGACCCTCAATTATCACTTCAAAAGTTGTTGCGTAGAGACGATGAACCTGACGGAGACGAGAGTTGGCACCTGGATGACAAGTTTGCCGCCCGGGAGCAGCTGTGGAGCCCAGTCGTTGGAACCTCTGGGAGCGACGATAGTATGACCTGGAGTACGATCCGTACCCAAAGCCGTACCCAGCCTCTCTCACAGCCAGAGTCCGACCAACTGTCTGTGGGCAAGAAGGAATCGCACAAACCCCGCGGAACGACAGTTGACACGGGTCTCGAAGATGCTGAGGTCGATGCTGTGGCCGAAGATGGTTTGCCGGCTGCAAGCCTCGCCGAAGTGGGTTTACCATACTTCCTTCCTTTCTTGCGATCGCTCATTCGGTTGATTTTGAAACCACAGGACCGAGGTACACACACGAGATCCAACAGTCAGACGTCCGTGACAACATCGCAGATGGGCCTCTTGAGCGCTGCTACGAAATTTGTCTCTAGCGTTCTTGGAGGTAGCAAGAAGGGAAAGGAGCCGGTGAAAAGCTTACAGTTGGCGGCCGTTGCGGCTAAAAAGGTAAATGAGCGAGTCAATTCAGATTCTGCGCATGTGCTTACCATGACTTTGCAGCAACAAGAGGAGGCTGACAAAAAGGCGGCCAGGCTTAAAGAGATGGAGGCACGGCGGCATATGGTCATGCAGAAGAAAGCGGAGGAAGAAAAGGCTCGGGAACAGAGGAGAATCAAGGAGGAGAATGAGCGGCGAAAACGAGAGAGAGACGACAATACCGAGAAACGGGCTCTCAGGCAACCCGTGAAAAAGGTCAAGCTTTACTTGTCTATTAGTTGACCAAGTCCGTTGACATTTTCTTTATAGAATGTTCAGTCAGACGACGAGACCAATAAAAAACGTAAGGCTGGCGGAGCTGACGAAAAGAAAGATGCCAAGAAGCCACCATCGAAGGACTCGACGAAAGACAAGAAAGACCTCGGAACATCGCGCATCGGGAAACCTGCCGTTAACAATGCTCATGCTAATGCAGATGCGTCGACATTCGGCAAATCAACAAAACAATCCGCATCTACCGTCCAAGTGGCCACAAGTGTCAGTATCGAAGACAAGAAGGCAACAGTGCCTAACGGTTCATCAGCTGCCACCTCTGCTAAAGCGAAAGCGAAGGAGAATGAGCTGTCGGGCATACCACCTTCTCAATTACTCAACGCTCAGATGCAGGCTCGCGTTGACGCGCAATTGCAAGAAGCGCGCAAGGCAGAACAGGCTGCTGTCCCGAGCGAAAGCATTGAACTACCTGAGATAAACAGCGAATATTCAGACTCAGAAGATGAGGACCGCGTGCGGACTTTCGACCCGCCTGACTGGGCGCAGTCTCCAGAACTTAGAGAAGCGTTGCAGTCGCAGAGCACCTGGAATCCCGACAGCATATTTGGGCCTATCAAGCCATTACGAATGGATGAACTTTTCAAGGCTAGGGCGAGCAAATTCAGAGCACGGACTAGTTCAGCGAACTGGGCTGGCACGGACAGATTGACTATTGAGGAGGAGCGAGATTACGCGATACGAATGGGTTATACAAGTTGAGGACTTCCCAACTGGATTGGTTTTATTCACAACATAGCTGGTTTTTGTATACATCGATATCCACTCCACTTCAGACTATTGATTTTACATGGCTCGCAAATTTGAATCCTTTTTTCGGTCGAGGCATCACTTCGCTTGCTTGCACAGTGGTTTATGGCGTGATTTCCAGTCTGCACCTTGGCATGACTTCGAGCAATACAGAACGGACTGTGAAATTGATTAGTAGATTCTAAACCTGCATACGAAAAGCACTCGCCTTGCACTTGGAGCACAGCAAAAGCTTGTCAACTGTGAATGTCTGACCTTGGCACTACATGAAGAGCGGCTTGAATCTGACAGCCGCAAGATTATCGACTTTGGACATACAGCGTAATTGCCGCAAGAAATGGCATTCGGA